CCCACCTGCTGCTTTAGGGCTCTGAGCAGTGCCAACCCCCGCTTTTCTGCTCCCCGCACCCGTGTCCAGGCCCCAGCTGTCCCCCTGGACTGTGGCACAGACACTGAGCTGGTCTTGCTTCTGGCTGGGCAAGTCCCTTCCCTTTGAGGCCAGCCTCCTCCTGCACAGGCTGCTTTAGGAGGCATGGGGGGGCTCCAGGCATGGCTCTGGAGGCTGCTTCTATCCAGAGCGCTTCTCACCCCCCACCATCTCTGTCTCTCGCACACACATGCTCCCCCTGCTGACACCCCCAGCCCATCACACACCCACACCCCTGCTGCCACCTCTACCCCTCTCCTCAGCCCATCACAACCCCCGAGTGGTTCCCAGGACCAGGAGTACCCCCGGGGTGGGCAGGCCTGACAAGGCCCTGGGCCAGGCAGGACAGCATGCAGGATAGCCATGCTGCTCCTCTCCTCCCCTCCCCATGCCTGCACCCCCAGTCATCACCTCCAATACTAGCCCCAGCAGAGTTGCCAGCAGCCACCATAGGTGCAGGCTGGTGGGATGTGGTGCAGTGGTGTGAGCAGTGGGGCAGCAGCCACCAGCAAAGTGGATGGGCAATGTTTGCCCCTAGCACCCAGGCCCCAGCACCATCCCAACTGGGCAGCACCCCCAGTCCCCAACCCTGCCTTGAGAGCACGTGGCCTAACAGGCAGGGGCATAGTACTCCTTCTCTCCCTCATTGAGCTTCTGCCACTGCTGCCCCAGCTGGACAGTATACCCAGCCAGAGCCCAAGCCCAACTAGGATGAGCCATAGGGGAACAAGGCAGCCTGCACCCACCCCCCAGCCTCTGGCACTGGACTGGGTGATTGCCCTGCCCCCCACCCAACCTGCCAGCTCTTCCTGTAGACCCCAGCCCCCTGGCAACATGAGCCTCACCTGACCCACAGGGCTCCCCCCCTGACCCCCAGGGCCCAGCCCCCAAAAGCCCTTACCCCAAAGGCTGCAGGGCAGAAAGCAAGTCTGAACCAGCCCTGGCTTACTCCAATTCTCAGGCCTTGCCCCACCCACTCCAGACAAGGCTTAGCGTTTCGGGCCCATTTTAAAAGTAGCTCTTGCAGGCTGGAACTCTGCCAGCCTGCAGAGAACTGTTTGCAAAGGGGCAAATCTCCTTTTCCCTGCTTTAGAATGAGAAAATCCACATTTTTCTGTATGAAATGGATATGCTGCTGATAAAGTATGCTGGTTTGGTAAGGGAATACCAGAGTTTAGAGAAAAAGATAAAATTAAGAAACAATCCAGATAAGGTATTAACGGCTTACTGGTATGCCTGGAGGAAAAAAAGCCGTTAGTCCATTTTTGCTAGAAATAGGTTAGCTAATTTACTAATACCTATCTAGCAAGACTCTTCCCAAAGAAATCCTACCAATGTAATGGGGGTGGGGGGGCCGCCTTTAAATCATTACCAAATATTGTATTAGGGTGTAACACTAGGCCATTCTTTAATAGGGTTTTGAAATACATACATATGAATACAGATTGTGTACTTTAAAGTTGTTCTCTTAGCTGAAGCATTACATTTAAGTATAGCTCCCAGAGACCTCTTTCAAAAGAGATGAACACAAAAAAATGTACATTCATCTATACTTTAATCTTTAGAAGCCAGGTTTTTGGGCTTTTTTTTTTTTTTCTTTAAACTAAATAATTTGGGGAAAAGGTATGGACCTGAGGTCAAACACAAAGCTTATATTATACAAAAGTTGTCTGCCTATTTCCACTTGTCTAATGTATACAAAATATATACTTAAAAATATTTGAAAGAGTTAAGAATAACCTAAATTTACTACAGCCCATTCTTTTATTAGAATCCCAATTTTCTAATGTTAGCAGATTTTAAAGTAAAGCTATATGGTTGTTAAAACCACTGACACGCTTGTAAAATCTGCCTTTGCAATACGAAGTTGGGCTTTCATACTTTCATTTTTTACTTCAAACTGAGAGCTATATACATGCAATTTAATATAAATTGCTATAGACCAAGCATCTACAAAGACACCTGCAAACTGTACTGTCCTCTAAAAAGACATTTCTACAAAAAAAATGTTTTATCTCAGTAATCTAACTTTATAAATGATCCTTCTCATCTGTTGTTGCTCAAAGAATATTCCTTTAAATATTATACAGGTAGATCCCCAGCCCTGGTGGATTAAAATACATTAGCAACACAGAGTCCTGGCCTAGTCTAGTAGTGCAAGCAGCTTGTCTCCACCTGTATCAGTTGCTTCAGAAAATGTCACTTAGAAACCCTAATGTTTCAGAGTATAAACCAAACTCTTTAGCTAAGGGTATTTAGGAGAAGACTTCCCCTGAGGTCATGTTATTCTAGAGCACTGGTGCTCAATCTTTTGGCTGTGTGGAGGCAGTCTGCACATCTCCACATGCCTAGGGCAGCCATCATAGAGGACATTCCAGTTTTCTGCTACTCTGTCCTCTATTGATACAAAACCCAATGCCTTTATGTTCTCTATTTTTCTCTCTAAGTGTCATGTTTCATATCAGTAGAGGACAACCAGACTGTCCTCTAGGATGACCCCCCTAACGTGGCCCCAGGTGCTGGGATTGGGCCCTGCACCACCCTGTGAGAATATAACTTCCAGAAGCCTAATAGTCTCCCATGCTTTTTCCTTCAATAAGATTTAAGCCTTACATTATGGTGTTTTGAATAACAACAGCATGTTTTGATTTATACATGTTGAAAAAGCTTTTATACCCACTAATGTGAACCTTCCCTTCATTCAATTCACTAGAAAATTATTTCTATACCAGATCTAGCATGCAGGACCACAACCCACAGGGCTCCCCACATACCAATGGGGAGCTCTGCAGGCGGGATGACAAAGCACCAGGGGCTAAGCAACCCTGTTCTAGAGGTGCCAACTCTTTTTCAGTGCTCTTTTCTTTAAATCATTTGCATAACAGCTAGGGATACTCTTGTTATTTTCTCATGGATCAGTGCAACTCACTGCCACACAATAATCCTTAAAACCAAGGACTTAATATACTCAAAGCAGTATTTCATTTTTTTCAGCCTGCCACCTTTGAATGTTATTAAATGTCCCAGAGCTCCTGTGTTATGATGAGAAAGGATGAATAAAAGTCTGATTGAACTTCTCTGTACCATTACCTACTTTTATCATGATGTCCATTTTTATTCATGGACAAAATGAATCTCTCTCCAATAGCAGTCTCAATCTCTTCACATCTAATAATCCTCCCTCCCCACTTATGATACACTTTTATACCTACATTATCCTTTTAGATACAGGATAGCCAAAACTAAAACACACTACTCACACATGTTAGTGAGCAATGAGGTTCCATTTCACATATGCCAATCAATCACCTACCAACGTTCTTGGAGTTCAGCACATTCACTGATAAAATTACTAGACCCATTAAATGAGTCTTGATTCAGAACTGTCCAACACAAACTGCAATGACCAACTGGAGGCACTTCTGACAAAACAAGTCAGAACCTCTTTTGGAAAAAGAACTCCCCTTTCTCCCTCAAAGTACATAAACATCCAAAGACTAAAAACCCCACCACGTAAGTAATAGCAAACTTACCATTCCTAAGCAAGCTCAAAGAAACTAAGAAGCTAACAAAAGGCCAAGTACAATTTCAGCCAATCAATGCTATTATCTAAAAATCAACATAATCAAAATTCATATCAGATTAAAGGACAGAAACCACTTCAGTGCCACTGGACACAATCTTCTACAGTCAAAGGATGAAAAACAAATGTCAAATTTATAGCCTCCTGAATTTCTTGCAGATCACCTCAACACAGTTAAACCAACACCTACAGGAACTAACATCCACCCCAACCTCACCACTGTCTACTCCAAGTGGAAGGCATAATTATTCAACACTGATTTTTAACCAACAGAAACATGTAGCAATATACCTTTTATGCAAACTAAACTCCCCCATGCATTTCCCCTCTGGGGAATGAGAGGAAGAACAAAGTACGTTAGTCACATGACTTACTACACTATCTGACACTACAGTGATGAGGATGGTAAAAGAACTTATGTAACTAGATATTATTGTTAATTTCTATAATAGCTTTTTAAATATTTCTCTTCCTTTATACATCCTGACCTTTTTATTCCTTTTACTGATTTTTCCATACAGAAAACAAGGTCATTATCTTAAGCTACTATCGAACTTAATACAATATACAAGCAGTTCAAATCATCTGTCCCTATGTGTATTACTTTAAATCTGCCAATACCTATTTTCACCTGCAATCATATTTTGTCATGCCTATCTGGACTTGGTTAGGTACTTCTAAAGAGGAAATTCTGCCACCTTACTGATGCTCTTTTGTCTTTAAGAACCAAACAGCATCCCCAATTCAACCCTTTTGCCATGATAAAAGTTGATTGTTAAACACCTCATGAAAGCAGATGTAATGTAAATGTTTAAACAACTGCTCATTTAAATTAGTTATCTGATATGCAAGCCAAGTTATTTATGCAAGAATTTAAACCGATCTCCAGAAAGCAGCCTTGAAAGTCTCAGTAACAAAAACTTTTAAGTGCTGGGGAAGCTGCTTTGAAAAGAGAATGTTTCCAAAGACTTTATCTGAAAGTCAGGTAATAGAGTTTGATTCTACCCTTTCCTGAAGATAAATAATTTAATTTATTAAGCTACATTCAATTCAACACGTGCAAATCCATGACAGATAGTTAAAGCTGCGGAAGTGCTTTTGACAGTGAAAGTAGAAAACAAGGTCTTGCTATCAGTGACGATGCATGGAGAGAACCTGGCCCGATGTTCAGATTTGCTGTTCAGTTTCCAAGGCTCGTAGCTAGAAAAACTGAAACAAAAATAATGGGCTGGAAACTGAAAAAACAGGATGTGATTTAAGGATGTCAAACTACATGATACATTTATAGAGAGAGGACCAGAAGGACTAAAAAGTTTATGAATTAAAAATATATACTTACATCTGGATATTCTTTTACAGGCACATAGAGTTTCTCTTGTAACTGTACAATAGGTCCCACAGCATCTGGTAATTCTGCACTTCTCTTCTCCGTACTACCATTTAACGTGTCGTTATACATGTCTTTCCGTACTCTGCTAATTTCTGTGGGGGAAAAATGCATATTGGGTATTAAACACAAAAATGTCTTATAAATTTGGATGATAATATTTTATCTTATAGATTTCTATATTTTAATACGGTTTTCTCTTAATTCATAAAAAAATGAAACAAAGAGTTTTAAACTAACATCCAAGCTATTTTTAAGGGAAAATTTGTTCCTTCACATTTTAGTCTACTGCCCAGCCATCCTCTTAAAAGGAACTATTCAGGAGAAACATGTAACACGGAACTCCCAGAAGTCTGGAAAAAATGTTTACAATTGTGTGAACATATCCACTGAAGTAGTTAGTTGCACTATTCTCGGTATTTATCATCATACTATTAAAAATATTTTGTACGAAGGTGCTAGGAAGCTTTAAAATCTACTTATTCATATAACTTAAGAGTAGAAAACATGACAGTGCAGCGCCACAGTAATCTATGCTTACTTAGTCTTCTGTTAATTATAGATAACACACAGAAACTAAATGGTAGAATTCTGACCAATGCAAATTTAGATTACTTCTATGCTCCAACCAACTCAAGATGAAGCATTTTTATCTCATTTCTCTAGGTCATCCATGTTGTTCTTCCATTCTTTCAAACAAACTGAAACAAAGAATTAGAGCTGTAACTAGTTTCCTTTAGGGGCACCATTTAGTACAGGAACCCTGAACCTAGACTTCAACCAAGACTAGACTTCAACCAAAAACCGTGTGTACAACCAATATGGACAAGGAGAGTTTAGGGCAGTAGGAAACTGGACAACAAGTGAAACAGCATAAGGGAGGGGCCTTGTATTCCGTGACTAAGGTTTTCCTTCTATTTTGAATTGAAAATAGAACACACACTGACATTTTCCTAAAATTAATTCAAACTACCAGATGACACTGATCAAGAGCTAAAATGAGAAAAGTGCAATCAAGATGTCCTGGGCCAGGTAAAAGCATTAATGTAAAGTATTAACATTGAAAACACTAGTTAAATAGTAAAACAGAAAGGAAGCTTGATGATCTGAATGTGCTTTTTAAGAAGAGTAGACACTACTGAATTAACCTAGACCCAATAAACTTTAAGAACAGAATAATGATGACTGGTGAGATCCTGCAAGAGATTTTAAATTTTATCATTCCCTACAGATCTCACTGAAGGAACATTTTAATACTTGATTCGAGGCCTTCTAGGAACTCTTAATAAATTGTGATTAGGATTAGACTACTAATCTTTACAAACAAAAACACAGCAACCAATTGTCAGGGATGTCATTAAAAAACACACCCAAAGGAGACTTGAACTTGGTAACAAACTACAAAATCAGTATCAATGTGGCACAGTAATTTAAATAATAAGCAAAGCCACTGGCCTGTGATATACTACCTTCCAGCAGAAAGGTTTAAATCCAGGTGTACTACCAACTGCTGCAAGGCAAAAGCTAGTTACACTTAACTGAAGCTAAAAGATCATTATGGTCAACTTGACTAAAAACCAGAGTTACGACTTGATCAAAATAAAGCATGCATGGCACACAAGTGATCTACAGTGTGTCAATAAATTTACATGAGCAAGACAATTTTAGAAGAACTTTCAAAGTAAATGAAGCATTTGACCAAAGTATGTTGTTGCCTAGGACAGCTCATGCCTCTCTAAAGTGTTAGTTTATCTTCTGCCTAACTGCAGGCTAGCATGGTTTACCACCTGCAGATTAAAGGTTAATGACTGTTGCAGTTTCAGTGAAAGTGAGGTCTGATCTGATCAAATGCCCTAAAGGAGGAATAAAAAAAACACCCAAACAACCAAAAAAAATCCTTGTTCTGAAGAGCAAGTGAAATCTTGCTTTGTTTAACCAATATACTTGATTCATATAGGGCAATCAATGATTAAATTCTAAAAAGGAATATGCTGAATTTAAGCTAATAGGATGATTCCAAATTCCTATATTCTTTTCCAAAATTTAAAAAAATAAAGGATTAATTTTGACACCAAATCTTTGTGAAGAAAACTGTCATAATTCTTTACACCAAGATGGTAGAAAGTTACACAAATAAAATCACAAGAGAGGACACAAGTACATGTTTCCTCTCCAGTCAACTCTGCACTCCAACATCTCTTAGCAATTGGTTAGAGTTCTGAAATGGAGGATGAAAAAATGAGTACGCTGGTAATATATTTTGCTGCATTAACAATAGATTCCAGACCGCATTATTGTGCTTTACACAGAGAAATGAAACCTTTCAGTTTGGAAAATAAATGATTTATAAGGTAAAAAAATATGCCTACAAATAATGCATTTCAGTTGATAAAGCACTTTGTCTCTCTTCATTTTTTTTTGTGTTTATTTTTCCTGGAATACAGAAAAAATCACAACCTATCTTTTCTTGTCAATTTAGGATTTAATAGAGCCGTCAGTTAATCGCAGTTAACATACACGATCAATGCAAAAACAAATTAACACATTAATTTTTTTAATCACATGAATCATGCACATAGCTTGCTCTTTTTTTTTTTTTTTTTTTTTTAAAAAACAGACCAGCCAGAACCTGTAGGCGCAGCCCTGTCCCCGGCCCGCCTTGCACCTGCTCCAGACTGATCCACCCATGCTGACTAGCAGCAGCGACTAGGCAGAAGCTGCTACTCAGCACAGGGGAAAAACGGTCCCTCCCCTTCTCTGCTGCCTTGCCCTTCTTGCTGCAGTCGCCCAGAGCCCATACCCGGGCTGCTCTGCCGCTCCTCTCCAATGCCATCACTGCTGCCTCCGGGCCATCCAGCAAGGCAGCAATGGCAGTGCAGAGGAGCCGCAAGGCAGCCCCTGAGTGTATGTTCCAGGCACCTGCAGCAAGAAGAGCCTAGTAGCAGTCAGGGGGAGAAGCCACTTCTCCCCCATGCTGAGCAGCAGCTTCTGCCTGGCTGCTGCCATTGGTCAGCATGGGCAAGTGAGTCTGGAACAGGCAAGGGGCGGGGCTGTTCACACAGGTTCTGGCTGGTCTGCTCCAGGGCAGATTAAGCCAAGAGGTCTTCATTATAGTTTGCCTAAAAATGGACTTAATTAGATTCTAAAACCTTCACAAAAAATACTTGACTTGACCAAGAGCCCACAAAAACTACTGAAACGTTTCCACATCCTTACTAACATCAGCATTATCACTTTATTGCATTTTTCCTCAACATCCAACATCATTATTAAATCAACCTGTGACAGAAGAAACAGAACAGAAGTTTTCAGCATAAGTGGGACAAGCCAAAGAGAGAATTAAGTCTTATAAGCCTACATTCACAATAGATCCATGAAAGATGGCAAGAGATCCTACTTTTGTTATACCGAGTCCAAGAGGAGAATGATACAATTAGGATAGATTAGAAAAGCAGATTATATAGCCCCTGCCTGGCTTTTCCCCACTCAAGAGAAGGGGCAGGGGGCATGGTCAGATGCCAGCGAGGCTGGCATGCTGAGGGGGAAAGGAGGGAGCCCCCTCCCCCACCTCAGCATGCCAGCCTGGCTGTCATCTGGCTATACCCCCTGCCTCTCCTTCTCAAGCAGGAAGCAAGGGAAAAGCCAGGGAGACCCTGGCTAGGGTCCTGAGGGGGGGAGGGGGAAACCTTGCCAGGGTTCCCCCCCCCTCGCTGGAACAGAGAGCATGGGCATGCCCCAGCCTGTGGCTGGCACCTTGAGGCAGGGCGGGAGGAGATTTAACACCCCCACACCTGAGCACATAAGCCCAGGGCCAGGGTGTGACCACACACCCTCTCCACTAGATCAAATAGCAAGGGGGGGGGGAGGGGGACACAGAAGCCTGGCAGGGGCTGCTTCCCCCACCAGGCAAACCCCAGGTGGGGTCCAGGGCCAGGGAGGGGGTTTAAACCCCCTTCCCCCCACCTCAGTCTGCAAGCCCTTAGCTGGGTGTGTGGCCATGCCCCCAGCCCTCTGCTCTACAGTAAAAACCTTGTAGGGACTGCAGAGGGGCAAAAGCCTGGCAGGGACTGCTTATTTTTTTTAGATTCTTCTGTATCTCACCAGCTTCAACAACTGAACACAAAATCCTCAGTGTGAAGACAGCATTGCTACTGGGTTTCATTATCCAGACCAATCCTTCAGTTCATGCCTTCAAAATATTTGTTAGCTTCTGACAGGCAGTAACCTTTCTTTTTCTTTATAAATCTTCTATTAACTTTGGGCCATTCTGAAATGTAAGCTACACAGTCTATAAAGGAACAGAGGTATGACAAATGCATGGCCACCTTTTGCTTGCACTTGGTAGCTGCAAAATGGCTATTCCAAAAGGATATGATCATTTGATGCAGAAATAATAGGAGTTGGCATATTCCTCTTCAAACTTTTTATGCCAGATTTAGGGTGCATGAAGAACAACATCATAAACCTGCCTCTTGAAACCATCTCTGTCAGATTGGCTGAACCACGTTACAAAACTCTCGCAGGACTCTTGCATCCAACATGAGTGCTTTTTATAGTACCATTAGCAACTGTAGTTATATCTTCAGAAAGTCTGGAGAAAAAAGAAGCATCAGAGGCTATGAACAATAAGTAGAAACTAGACCAACAAAAGGACCAAAGCACCAAAAAGTAGAATTTGGGCTCATAAAATCCAAGGGGAGCTTGATTATTTAAAAATGTCTGCTCCATTTTTTCAGTATCTGCTCAACTATCCAGAAGACATTACAAATCTTAAGTTTTAAATATTAAAAGGTTTTCCAAAAACCTGTCTCATGGCATGTCCAGAAATGCTGCTCTTGAACAGCTTAGGAATTCAGTGCGTCTCATGCCCAAATTCCATTAAGATTCACAAATAGGGCAATCCTCTACCGAGCTTGACTTAACAGTTTGAGATTCAGGAGCTATAGTCAGCATGTCTACAAAAAAACAGCCATACTTTCTCTATAAAATAGGATTAAAGGACAAGGGGATTTCCCCTTTTAATGAGTCAGCAGTTATGAATATGAGTATTCACCCAAAATATGGTAGATGGGAGTTCCATATCCTAGCCCTTCAG